ACAAAATATATAAAAATAAATAATTGTGAATCCATAGTATCAAGCACATTCCTCTTCTACAAAATGGAAACAATAATAATGATACACATAGTATCTACTTTAAAAGGCTGCTGTGGGGCTCAAATGTGATGTAAAAGTGCTTTGTGAATATTAAAGGTTACAACTATGAATGATATAGCTAGTCTCAGCAATACAACTATCTAAGACAATCCCAAAGGACTCATGATGAAAAATGCTATCCACTTCCAGAGAAGGAACTGATGGAGTCTGAATACCAATGGAAGTATAATATTTTTCACTTTCTTTTTTTTCTTTTTTGTTTGAGTTTTCTTGCACAAAATGACTAATATGGAAATGTTTTACACAATTCCACATGTACAATCTATATCAGATTGCTTACTGTATCAGGGAATGGAGAGAGGAGATAGGGAGGAATAGAATTTGGAACTCAAAACTTAAAAAAAAAAATGTTAAAAATTGTTTTTATGTGTAATTGGGGAAAAATAAAATATTATTTTAAAATATCTAAAGTTACATAGATATGTGTATATAATATGTTGTTATTATCACATCAAACTCAAACATTTAAAACTGAAACCTTTATGTTTGCTACAAAACAAGCAGAATATCCAGAGTTCCCTATTTCTGTCAAGGGTGTATCACCATCATCATTCCCCTTCCTGCTGATAAACTGCAAACTACTGAGACTGACAAATGGGAGAGAGGCCATTGGGAGGGCAGTAGTAGATGGCTTAGGAGTTCCATCAGGGGTAGTAAAAGTTTTGAAATTTACCCTATAGATTTTGATATTTTAGTCTCATTTACTCTGCGTTTGCTCTGCATTTAAATCATCCAAGGCAATTCTCTTCATAAAGGTTTCCAGGGAAGTACATTCCATAACTTTCTTCAGTAATTTGGCTTAAGGTAGCATATCTATGAGAAAATGTCCACCGGACACCTGGAGATGTGGAACTGAATTTAGGTGAGAGCTCAGGGCTAAGAATCTAGATTTTGAAATTGTTCATATAGAAGAGACAGCTGATGCCATTAACATGTATGAAATATCTGAGAGGGAACAGGTTGTATAATAATAATAAGAATAAGAATAATAATAACAGCTAGTACTTATTAGCTAGTTATTAATAATATTTATAAAATGTAATATATAATAATGAAGCATAAGATTATATAGATCATAATAATACTTTATTAGCTAGTTAATAATAACAACTAGCTTTAAAGTTTACAAAAAGCATTTTACAAATATCCTAATTTTATCCTTACAACAACCCTGGGATATAGGTGCTATTATTATCTCTATTTTATAGATGAGGAAACTGAGGCTTAGAGAGGTTAAGTGACTTGTACAGGTCTGGATAGCTAGTGAGTATCTAAAACTAGATTTGAACTCAGATCTTCCTGATGCTAAGTGCTGTGTTCTATCCACTAAGCCAACTTGTCTGCCACCCAGAAGAAATTAACCCTTGAGTATCACCATATTTAGAAGGCTAGAAGAGGAGGTGGAAAGAGAGAAGAAAATCCTTAAGAAAACTGAGACAATATAGTGGCATTGAAGGGCAAGGAAGGAGAGCTTCAAGAAGGAAAGGGCAGTTAACTGTGTTAAAGGCTGCAGAGAAATCAAGGGGAATGAAGAACATGAAAATGTGATTATTGTATTTTAGAATTAGGAAGTTACTGGTGATCTCGGAAGGAACAATTTCAGTAAAATGGAAGAATTAAAGGCAAGGTTAGGAGGAATTAAGCAATGAAGGGGGAGGTGGTGGCGGGGTGGGGGAAGAGGAGTCAGACAAAGTAAAACATTCTTTTGAGAATTTATAGATTGTCAACGTTGCAAGGGATCTCAGAAGTCATCTAGTTCACACCAAGAACCCCATCTACAACATATCTTTACAAAGTAAGAAGAGGAAATTTAAGGAAAGACCTTTTCTTAGCATGGGAAAACCTGAGCATATTAATAGTGAGACTGTAATCACTGGAGAGGGAGAGCGCAAAGAGTCAAGAAAGACAGGGCAAGGTCCAGTGCAAAGATCGGATTTTAAGTCTTTTCTTACTCCCAAAAATAGATAGTTTTTTCCCGTTGTTTCTGAGGGACACACATTTATGACTGGCCATCTCCCGGGAAGAAAGAAAATTAAGTCAGACTCAGAAAACCAGTATGCTGAGACCACTGAACATTTCTCTTCAAACTACCCTTCCCCAACCCTCTATTCCTAGTTATCACCAAACATACTCATCTCACTGGTCATGCTTCATCTGATGATGCTGACAGCAGCTCAGTGTACACTACTGATTGTCTACTTGGAAATTGGTGGTTCTTGCTACTGCTAGTTATTCTGGGGGTTTCACTCAAAGGAGTCTCCAAAGCTTAGAGTCTGGATAAATCTTGACTTTTCTAATGGATGCCAAAGTTTACAACAGGGTTTTTCTTGCACCTCCATGTGGCAGCCATTATAAATAATTCTTGCTCTAAACAGCCAACCAGGTCCTGAACTAATTTAGCTGTGTAGCCATCTGGAACACCTCAGAAACAGTGAGTTGTCAGTATTGTAAACATTTTAGGTTTCATGTGAGACTCCAACTACTTTTATATTAATTGTCATTTCAAAGTTGACATTTGGGTGCAAGGATAAGGCATCAATTGAACAATAACAACAACAACAATGATGAATATTATAATAGTAATTAAAGGTACAAAGCAGTCTGCTGGTTCCCTAATAAGGAAGGTGACCAATGCAGTTCTCTGAGCAGTGAAGTGCCAACACAATTTATCAAGCTGTTTTTGGTTTTCTCCTGACAGCAATATTAACAGTTTGTTTTATTCTGTTTATATAGTGCTGACAGTTCTTCACTGTGCTGGGCTCACTTGCATGTGATTAATAGCCACTCATATACGAAGGTAGAGACAAGGCAGAAAGAGAATGCCTTTTACAATTAGATAAGAACTGAATTTCCTCTCGTCTTTCAGCCTCCCTACTCTCTATCCTCCAACCGCTAGTCTCCTCAACCATTTTAAATTTCTAATAAGGAATCAGTAACATGTGCAACAGTTTTGAAGTGATTCATCTAATTATAGAGACTCCTTCTGTGATGTAAGGAAGGGGAGCTTAAACTGCACGTTCATTTGGAATCAGCTTATCTCTTCTCAAAGGGTGCTGCTGGCCAATCTCAAAAGCGTAAGAGTTAGTTTTTATGTTAAAATGAGAGATTCACATGAGATAGCTTTTGGCAATAAGGAATTTTAGATATACTGAGAGGCAACTGTTCTCTAAATATAGAGTTACTTTTGTGAAAATAGAGAGGTTGCTGTTATACTTCAGATGGTTTCTGGAAGTCTGGATGCCTCAGAGAGCATCTCAAGCATCCTTATCATAAGATTTTTATTTCAAAGCCATTTAGTAGGACCAAGAAGGCTTAAGGAGGATCTACTATGGTTCGTGAGTATTTCTTGGCAATGAGGCTCTTTTTTTCAGCTTTGTACAAAGAGAAAAGGTAACCCCAAGCAGCACCAATAACCAGCCAGTATAAACAATGGGAATATTCAATGATAGAAGGTTGCTACACAGTGAATTGTGGGCATCCATTAACTTTTTTTTCCCTGCAGTGCTCTGTAGGATTCCATACCTGACAACCTCCTAAAGGAAAATCTCGTGTTCTAGCCACCTTATGGCACCATATACACATTTATGTGACTAGAGTTAAACCAGTTCTGCCTAGCAGGCTAGGCACATTTCTCTGATGCCAGGTCCTTGGGTGGTACTGTATGGGATGGGATTTCTAGAGATGGAACTTTTGAGAATTTGTTATAGTTCTTGTGACACCAATACATCTGGGGACAAAATGGAGGCATAGCTTAGTGGCCGACCCCAAACCAAATGCTTCTCCACAAATGTGAATAGGCAAGTGGGCTGCCGGCTGCTTCTCCTATTTTTCAGTGGTTTGTCTAGACAGACCTTATGAGTCTCCAGGAAATAAATGAAGAGTAAGAAAGAAGGCTGATACCTTCATACCTTTATTCTCCCAGCTAAAGAAGAGTATTCTTTCCAAGCTTACCCTTCCTGGTGGTCTGGCAGCAAGGTCTAGAACATGGTGGTAAGCCACTAAACTTCTGGAATAATTTAAGACGTCTTAGTCATCCTGTTTGAGGAAAGGTCCTCCTATTTTAATTCTAAATGCATGCCCTGATTTGGCAGATTCTAACCAAAGCAAAACATTACACCAAAAAGGTAACTAATGTTATTAAAGTTTGCTTGTAGGAAGCATATCTAAAAATAGAGACATAGATGATATGTTCCCTGTAAGGCCAGACTCCATTGCATGCAATGCTCTATACTCTTTATATCTGAAGTTATGCTTTGATGTCTGAGAGTTATTTCTGATAACTCTATATAGCCAAGTACATATGGAAAAGCAACCTATTTCAATGGTATAATTATCATTATACAGGACATTCTAGGGACAGGAAATTCTCAGGTTACAAGTTATAACCCCAACTCTGCCATCTTGGTTTTATCACTGAATTTTCTTATGGGTTTGTTTTCTTCTTAGGAAATGATTTCAATAATTTGTTTCCAAAGCAATTTATTGTTTTTAACCTGAAAGATAAATGGAAATTATAATTTGGCAAAACATAAAATACTATATTTATGTTTAATAAAAAAATCTCCCTCGTGATTTTTAAGAAAGTAAATTTCAAGTCCACTTTCCTGTTTGTGTACTGCCCACAATATTTAGCTCTTAGGTACGTAGCTAATGTATTAAGAAGTTCCTTATTTCCCAATCTTTCATTGCTTTAGCTCAATCAGATAAAAAGAACCCAGTGGTGAAAGTCTAAGATTAATTTGGAGGGGTTGGGAGGATGATGGCTGGAGAGAGAGTTCAAAGAATCAAAACTTTGGTAGAAATCTTAGAAATGATTGCGTCTCGTCCCCTCAGAGAAGGGGAAGAAAATGGATTAGAGAGATGCTTGACACAGGGCTTACCTTCTTCGAAGATCCTCAGCTACAGCAGCGCGGCAGCTGAACAAATAGGCTCGGAGAGATTTCAGTTGCTGCCTTAGACGGACAACAGTTGCCAGTGGTTCAACATGTCTGTACAACATGGGATTTTCCTGTTGGATGTCAATCAACGGCTCCTCATACACATACTCCAGAAACTCTTTGGCTTGCTTAGATACCTGGAAAACAACGTACTCGGGATTAATGTGCTTGTTTTTTTTTCCTGTCACTTTCAACCAGACTCTTCCCTTGGTTTCGGTGTAAATTTTTTTTTTCAGTAGAGTCACTGTTTGCTAAACCTGCCAACAATGGAAACAGCAGATCAAATATTAAAGTCTCACTTTAAATTTTAAGTAATACTCAAATGAAAACCATGGTTTATTTAACAAACTTATATTACTTCTAGCTCTTACTGGAAACAACATTAGAAAAAATAACATTAGTAATAATCAGAGTCACTTAGAAATAGGTTTAAATCTCCCTAACAAAACTGGCAAGGGAGTTTTTAAAGGATCTTTAATGAACTGGTTTGTTTTTTTTTTTTAATTCCAATGGCCTACAAATGAATTTAAATCTGACCTTAGGGACAACATGTGCTAGAAAAAGACAGAGAACCTGGATTGGTGCTCTGGCTCTGCCACTTAATAGCTGTGTTCCCCTGGCCAAGTCATTTCACTTTTAAGCCTCAGTTCTTCCATCTGCAAAATGAAGATTAAATATTTGCAGTATGTTTCATAGCTATTTATAACAAACCAAAACATCTGTGATTAAGACATAACAATCTACTGTAAAGTAGAATCAGTGTCCATTAAAGGAATGCAAAAATATGTCAATATTTTCAAGAAAGCATCTAGTCATTTCTCTTCATTTTAGGTTGAGGAATGCTGCCATATTCAAGTCAATTAAAAGCATCTATTTATTCAGGGCAGCTAGGTGGCATAGTGGATAGATATCAGGATTTAGAATCAGGAAAGTCTGAGTTCAAATCCTATTTCAGACACTAGTTGTATCACCCTCAGCTTAACCTCTCTGTATCTCTGTATCTCTTCTCATCTAAAAAAATGGTGTTAATAATAGTACCTACCTCAGAGAGATATTGTGAGGATCAAATGAGTTTACATAAATAAAATACTTTGTAAACCTCAAAGCACCATGTAAATGCCAGCTACTGTTATTATTATTATTATTATTGTTAATCACCTACTAGAAGCAAGATTTGCTAGTTGCTGAAAAGATCACCACTCTACTAAAGCCCACAATCTTTTTGAAATCACCCCAATGAGAGCTACTCCAGCTCTCCAAAAATGAGAGGATGGTTAATCTGACTGGAACTGACACAGTCATTCCCAAAGTGACATATCTAAATCAACTCTTGTTCTTATTTTTGTACATACAGATGGAGAGAGGTTCACATACAGATATACACAAATGTATGTGGAGATATAGTTTACATATTTAAATTGAGGGGGGTAATGATAGTGCTTTCTGAAATAAAGTATAATCTACTAGAAGCTGCTGCTGAAAAAATGATAATATTCTGTAATTCAATTAGTCTTTCTGGCTCTATTAAGTAATGTTTTTAATGACACAAGGAACAGTGCTAAATTAGGCTAACAGGGCTACCTTATAGGAGGTGAAGAAAAGGACAAAAGGTATTCACCACAGTATCTCAAAACTTAAAAGGCTTCTCCCTTCAGGTCGAATGTAAGACAAAAAGGGAAAAAATATCCCTTACAAAGATCTTAAGAATTAAAAGTATTATAGGCAGGACAGGAAGAGAAGTCACTACTGTAATTATCCATACCAGGCTTAAATGACTAATTTTTGCATGAATTAATGAATTTATTAAATAGTACAAAGCACATAGTGCATGTTAGTAATTATAATATGTGACTGGATACAGATAAACTGCTTTCTATATTTGATCATTTTCAATAGCAAAATACACAAATATTCAAAATACACTAATACAAAGTAGCAACAACAACAACAAAAAAAGATTGTCAGAAAGCAACACCTACATTCCAGTGGATAAGACTATCACTATTTGCTGATGAAATGATGGTTTACTTGGAAAATCCCAGAGAATTAGTAAAGTTACTCATTGAGATGATAAATAACTTTAGCAGAGGCAGCTAGGTGGCACAGTGGATAGAGCACTGGGCCTGAAGTCAGGAGGACCTGAGTTCAAATTTGGCTTCAGACCAGACACTTGACACTTACTAGCTGTGTGACTCTGCACAAATCACTTAACCCCAATCGCCTCACAAAAATAAATAAATAAATAAACAAACAAATACATAAATAAATAACTTCACCAAAGTTGTAGGCCACAAAATAAATCCTTAAAAATCAACAGTATTACTATATAATAATAAAACACAAGAAGCAATAAAAAGAAAGGGTAATTTTATTCCAAATAACTACAAAATAACTGGGGAGCAACCTCCCAAAACACACAAAAGACTTGTATAGATTCAATTACAAAGTGTTTAATGAAATAAAGAATAATTTGAACAGCTAGAGGAATATTCAGTGCTCATGGCTAAGTCATGCCAATATAATAACAATGACAATGCTACCAAAATTAATTTATATTTTTAATGCTATACCAATCAAATCACCAAGGGGATACTTTATAGAATTTGAAAAAATCACAACAAAATTCACTTAGAGAAACAAAAGATCTAGAATTTCAAGGGAAATGATGAAAGTGTATGCAGGGATGAAAATGGAATAGTACCTCTAGATCTCAAACTATATTATAAAATAGCAGTCAGCAAAGCCATCTAGTATTGACTAAAAAATAAGTATACCAATAGAACAGATCAGACAAAGGATAATCAGAAATAATGGAAGCCAATATCTCAGTGTTCAATAAAATTCAATAAAGTTCAATAAAGTGGGAAACATAAATTACCCATGGAAAAATTCTTTATTTGATAAAAACTACTGGAAAATCTGGAAAGTAGTCTCACAGAAATTAGGCGTATATAGTCTTATAACATATTCTATAGTACATTCTAAATAAATATGCAACATTATTATTAAAGAAATATTTTAAAAATTAGAAGAGGAATGGATTATATATTTCTCGCAGCCATGAGGAGGAGATGTATTCTTTTATTAATTTAATTAATTAACCAATTAATTAATTAATTTATTTATTTTTAGTTTTCAACATTCACTTCCATAAGCTTTTGAGTTTTAAATTTTCTCCCCCTGCCACTCCCTCCTCTCAAGATGGCGGACAATCTGATATAGACTCTACATATACATTCATGTTAAGCATATTTTCCCTTTAGTCATGATGTAAAGAACAATTAGAATTAATGGGAGGAACCACGAGAATGAAGCAATAAAACAAACAACAAAGGAAAAGGAGAGCAAATAGTATGCTTCCATCTGCATTTAGACTCCATATTTCTTTCTCTGGGTATGGACAGCATTTTCTATCCTGAGTCTTTTGGAGTTGTCTTAGATTCTTGCATTGCTGTGAAGAGCCAAGTCTATCAAAGTCAGTCATGCCATTATGTGGCTGTTACTGTGTACAATGTTCTCCTGGTACTGCTCATTTCATTCTGCACCAGTTCGTGTAAGTCTTTCCAAGTTTTTCTGAAGTCTGCCTGTTCATCATTTCTTATAGCACAATGGTATTCCATTACATTCATATACCACAACTTATTCAGCCATTCTCCAATTGATGGGCATCTCCTCAATTTCCAATTCTTGACCACCACAAAAAGAGCTGCTATAAATCTTTTCCCATTTTTATGATCTCTTTGGGATACAAACCTAGAAGTGCTAGGGTATGCGCAATTTTATAGCCCTTTGGGCATAGTTCCAAATTGCTCTCAAGAATGGTTGGATCATTTCATAACTCCACCAACAATGTATTAGTATTCCTATTTTCCCATATCTTCTCCAACATTTATCATTGTCCTGTTTTGTCATGTTAGCCAATCTGATAGGTGTGATGTGGTACCTCAGAGTTGTTTTGATTTGCATTTCTGTAATCAATAGTGATTTAGAACATTTTTTCATATGACTATAGATAGCTTTAGTTTCTTCCTCTGAAAACTGCCTGTTCATGTCCTTTGACCATTTAGAGGAGATGTATTCTTAACCAAACAACAGATAGAGGCAATTACAAAAAGCTTCTACAGAGACAAAATCAATGCACCTTGGATAATGAATGGGAGTGGTCAAATGGGGAAAAAATATTTCTCTGATAAGGATTCAGTAGTCTCTCTCTCTCTCTATATATGTGTGTGTATATATATGACTAATAATATCCATTCCTCAAACAAATTGCAAAATATTCACAACCACATGAAAGAATTCACCACATTACTAATGATAAGAAAAATGCAAATCAAAACAACCCTGAGGGTTCATCTCATACCCAACAAATTGGTAAAAATTATAAAATATGGCAATAGTCAATGTTAGAGGGATTGTGGAGGGATAGGCACATTAAGTCATTGTTGGTGGAGCTATAAAATGTAAAATTTTGCAAAGCAATTGGGAATTATGCAAGTAAAGTGACTAAAATGTATATACCCTTTGAATCAGAGATTCCATTACTAGGTTTATACCCCAAGGAAGCCATTGTTAAGATGAAAGTCCTTGTTGTATGCATAAAAATATTTATAACAGCACTTGTAGTGATATCTAAGAACTGGAAACAAAGTAAATGCCCATCAAACGGGTAATACTTGACAAAGTGTGGTAAATGAAAAAAATTGAATATTACTGTGATGTAAGATGTATATGACGAATACAGAGAAGCATGGAAAGAAAGATGTATATGAAATGACATAAAGTAAGCAGAACCAAGAAAACAATATACACAGTAACTACAACAATGTAAATGGAAAGAACAACATAACAAAAAATCAAAAGTAAATATAACAAAATTATAAAGATCAAGCAGGACCCTGATGAAGAGATATGAAAGGACACTCACAACTCCTCCCCCTCTTTATGGACGTGGGAGGTCCACATTGCATATGTTTTTGAACTTTTTCAATGTATTGGTCAGTTGTGCTGATTTTTTTTCCTCTCTAAAAAAATACCACGTATCATGTGGGGTGCCTCTTTGGGAGAGGAAGTGGGATGGATATTTGGGAGAACCATGATGATGTAAGTAACTGAAGATATCAGAGGCAGCTGGATG